CCGACAGTAACGACGCTCGAGGTTTCTTCATTTCTCGGGACGGTCGCGCGTCGTCAAAAGTATTTGTCAGATGGTTTCTCGCCTTACAGCAAACCCGGGGGGGGGGGGGGAGGGGGAAATTCCATTAACTTTGATCTTGAAGAGATTCCTGTGGAATGACTGAGAGATAATCAGCGGAACAAGAATGAAAACTTATCGACGATGACCAAAGACGGGTTGGACCTTATCGCAGTAATACTTTAGCGTTTTTTTTAAATCTCATATTAAACCGTGCATGTACACTGAAAAAAATTTCTGGTTGAATATGGACGAATCAGATAATTCCTTTAGGATTTACCAGAATTCCTTTAGGATTTACCAGAATTTCTGTAGGATTACAGGAATTCTGGTAAATCCGGTAAATCCTAAAGGAATTCTGGTAAATCCTAAAGGAATTATCTGATTCGTCCATATTCAACCAGAAATTTTTTTCAGTGTAGAAAAGAGGTTATTTAAAGATTAAAATCTTGTCCCAAACTCGCAAGTTTCTTCGCTTCTCGAAATGGTTGCGCGTCGAAAACATTTGTCGAGTGGATTTGCACGTTACGGCAGGTCGGAAAAGGAAAATTCCATAAATTTTGATCTTGAAGAAGATTCGTGTGGAATTAACGGGGAAAGAGCAGAAAAGGGGAAGAACGAAACGTTGCTGATGACGACACGAAGCGAGATGGGTTGGATTTTATCTCGGTAATACTTAAATTTTCGCCTCAGTATTTTATCTCTACTTTAAATAACGCGTGTGCAAAAGTCGAAAGAGAAAATTACAATTGAAATCCCGTTTCAAAGCGGCGATGTATGTAAAGCTAGAGAAAAATCTCATATCGCAACAGATCGCATTTAAAGTGGGAATTTATATTAAAACAACGCGTCGCTTGCGACGTATTAATTTTAACGACTAAAAAATATTTTTATCGTTTGATCTCTTCTCATATTTAAATTGCGCGTTTGTATCTGTTTTCCACGCTTCGCCATAACAATGCGAGAAGTTGGGAGGCAAAGGCGTGCGTGCAACATTTTTTATTTAAAATATTGCGTCAACGCAACGGTAATTAAGATAGGCAATTTTTCTTTTGAGTATGGTATTAAGTAATATGTATTCGAGTGTAGCAATTAAAATCCTTGTGTAATGGCTATTACACGGTACACACTCGTACTATTTGTACGCTGACATAAAGCTAGATAGGCCAACGGGTCTTTGCGATTTCGTTGCTCGTATTGATTAATCTCCAGAAAAACGCGAAACTGAGTCCCCACACATTCGCATATACATACATCGAACGTACACGTTGCGCGAAAGACCGGTTTGAGATTATTATAGAAGAACAGGTTGTACATTGGCCGAACGAAACTTTGCATATATGTCACGAGAGACAAGGCAATTCTTGCTATCAAAATCCACGATTTCTACAAAGACGTTTAAATCGAGGCGCCATCGCGAAATCAGTGATTTTCCAAATCTATTCTTCAATCGCTATTTCTTTAGAACTTCTTGCAGAATTCGTCACTTTCGAGAACTTATTTCCCTATTTATTGGGCATTTTATTAATATTATTGGGCACGTAAGGACAAGACCGTACATAAGCATTTCTACTGCTTGTGTTATTTATTTCCTATTTATTAGATTATTTAGAATCCGATTCTGGACTACGTCTTTTTTTTTTTCTAAACAAGTTACTGCACTTGAGACGCACTATTTACGTGCGATTGGGACGAATGATTTTGTAGGCGAATGAATTTACTTGTAATGCTTCAAGAATGCTATCTGCAATCTGGTATAACGCTCGCGGAGGAAAGTCCATCGGAGTGATTGCATTCTTTTTGGTAACATTGTTATTAGGTGTGTAGGCAAAACGTGAGAGGCGGTATCACGAATCGAAATCTTTGTTCTTTCTCTTTTTTTTAGAATAGGACTATCACCGTTTAAAAAATCACCTGAGAAAGTTCGTAGAAATCTTCGTTTGTTACATTTGAGAAAGCATGAATGAAAGATTAGGGGATAAGACTCCATCGAAAATTTAAGTGGTATATGATATAAATGATAAATGATTAGCGTACTGCATTTCTTGATTATGTAACATAATTTATACGGATATCTGGATTTTGATGAGAGATATCGGATAAACGCGATAAAATGTTAATTAGGGAATTCTTTTCTACATTTTAAATGGAAGAAACGATCGACTGTGGGAACTGGTTTGTCAAACCGAAGTGGAAACCGGATAGTGAACGCGGTCAAGTTTAAAGGACAGAACATGAGATGCCTACTTTAAAACGTATATATTTAGAAATATTTTATCCGAAAGTACATATCCGCATTGAGCCATTAACAAAGCTGCAGCTTATTAATTACTTTCTCTCGTATTTTGAGACTAATTTGTAATAAATTTGCAAAATAATTGGAGTTAATTGTGAAATTTATTTTCATGCTTTTTTTTAATCTCCTTTTCTTCCTACATTGTTGTGAATATGATATGTTTTATTAAAACGAATCAACGAATGTTTTGCTTAGCGAACTATGTCGGTGAGATATACATTTTCTAAATATACGCGAATCGCTTATTTACCTATTTATAAGTTCCAATTAAAACCTGCAATAATAAATGCAAATGACGGTGCGGCAAAAGTTGCATATCCGTTTTAAGAAAATTTTCGATGTCGTGTTCATTTTTGAAAAAAAACACCACAATCTTGTCGAAAAATTATATTAAGATCTAAGAGACGTTTAAATTCGTCTTTCACGACGCTTACCTGTCTCGCAATTTTAAGAGATTTAAAGCGAACATCGTTGCCCCTATTCTCAAGCGTTGGCCAATTTTTTTTTTCTCGGTACCTTACGCAGCAGGCATTACGCCGTGGGAACCACCGGTGATCGCAGAATGGGTTTCAGGGCGAGCGGGAAAGTTTACTAGTTATGGTAATTCCGAAGGGTACACCTCGCGAAACGGGAGATCGACTCTCGTCGAGTCTCTCGCTCCGACAAAATCCGGAACACAAAGATATTTCTTGGTAAACCGCCGATGTTTAGAAAGTGCACTTACTTTCTTTGTTTTCTTAGAAGAACTTTCGTCGATTCCCGAAGACGCTTGATCGCCGCTGATCGATTTACTTTTTCACGCCCGCGAAGTATCACGAGGTGACTGTGAAATTGTGGCGGTGACTTCGCCGGCGTAAAACCCACCCACACCCACACACATACACACTCATGCGTAGTTTTTCGGCGAAAACGAGGGTGCAAGGAGCAAGAATTAGCTGTAATATAAGTTCTCCAACCGGTTTTGTTCAGAATAAAAATTTCTACGGTTTATTTCCCCCATGGTGCGCATTTGACAACTTCAGTACCGATTGTTCTCGCACGCTTTCTTCTAATATTCCTTCGCCTCTTCTTTTCCAGGTCGGCCTTGCAGACGTTGCACAAGGTGTCCGGTAAGGCACGCGAGCAAAACTATTTTCTGGGTGGACTGTCGCATGACTGGGTTAGTTACTATGAGCAACGGATCGAGAGCGATCGGTCGTGCCTCAACGAGTGGCATGCCATGGACAATCTGGAGTCCAAGAGACCGCCGTCGCCGGACAGCGTGCGCACCAAGTGAGTCCGATCGCTTTTATCACGATCCTCTCGGGAACGACGGGATAAGGAAACGAACCGCCGACAAGACGGTTGTCCGAATGCAATGGCAGTGCGATGGCACTGTCTGATCTGGAGCGTAGCACGGACTGCATCCAGAACGCCAGCGCTTTTGGGAAGACACCCTCTCCGTCTGGGATCTCGTGGAGATGCTCGATTTTAATGCCCTCGATACATATTACACGTCACTGGAGCAAAATCGATTCGTTCGAGTATATAAGACCCGAGCCGAGAAACAGCTGGCCAACGCGAATTTAGCTTGGTACCGTGCCAGGTTTGGGTGGTTTGTTGATGCGCCTTCCCCGGTTGTCTGCGTTGCGCCGTGTTGGTCGCGCGCACAAGTGGAGCATAACTTCATAGCCGTCCTTCAATTATTTCCAGTTTCTACGTCTGCCCTCCCTTTCGAACTCGGTTAAACATTTTGAGATATTGGGTCATTTCGATCGTTGGATTCCAGTGTTACGAAATCCCGAAGTAATGTGCACACATGGGAGATTGATGTGTCCGAAAACTTCGGGCTGCGTTCCAATTCGGTCCCCTTGTTCGCGTTTGTAAGGCCACTTTTGGGATTTTGCGTTACAACGAACGTTGTTGAGCTGTGTAGGTCTTTATAAGTACAGTATAAATTAATGGAATGACAACTACAGCTTAGAAAAGATAGGGAAGAGCTGCCTAATGCGTACCTCATCAATATTTCATATTATTACTTGATATAAGCAACATTTAGTAATAACAAAATTAACAAAAAAAATATATATAGGGAGGAGAAGTGCCAATGTGAGCCACAAAATGAACGGAACTCGGTTCTCACAGTATATGTAGAAAGAATTTCTCTTTAATATAAAACGTTTCGACCCTTCTTTGGGTCTTCCTCAGTAAGACTATTAGATACAATTTAACAAAGCAGTCAACGGTTACATCAGCTGTTAGATGAGTTCGAAGCGACGATATTGGAACGACTGTCTACAAAATTAACATAATACATCTTACTTTGTGACTGCTAACAAAATTAAAAAATTCAGGTATAACTGATGTTATTTTTTTACTAATTTATACAGGTTGTTATGTAATACTCGCCTCATCTCTTATTTACGGACAGAGCGGACTAGACTGAGTCGAAAAGTCCTCTACCATTTTTCAATTTTCGCATTAGTTAACGAGTTATTAATTATTAAAAATCACTGTCTTAGCCTGGCCTTAGTACTTTCTTATATCAATCTTATACTATTTACTCGATTTATTATTATTTTCGCTCATACATTTGACTATTTCAAGGAGGTGCGATTTAGGCAACCGGTTTCCTAAATCGTACCTTTTGCAACATGTTACAAAAAGACTTGTAACAAATTAATTTGTTTTTAGGGAAACGTTAAACATGTAATAGATGCCTGAAACATCAAACTACAATTTCCAATGGTTGTTTGCACACAAATCAGTACCAAATAGGATATATAATAAATAATTCCTTACGCGTTTGGTAACTCTTCCCTATATACAAATATAGCGACCGTTTCGTGATAAACGATTATTCATGGACGCGTCAAATTAATTTTATATGTCTAACTAATCAGTCGCAAGATACAAATATGGGTGTTTGTGTAACACAGGCCCAGGGAGAGAGAAGAGACCGAGCGCGTGATTCGATCGACGCTGAAGGAGATCATGATGTCCGTGGACCTTGATGAAGTTACCTCGAAATATATTAGAGGTCGCCTTGAAGAGGATCTCGACATGGACCTCGGGGAATTTAAACCGTTCATCGATCAAGAGATGCTCACCATACTGGGGCAAATGGATGCGCCAACCGAGATATTCGATCATGTTTATCTCGGGAGCGAGTGGAACGCTAGCAATTTAGAGGAGCTCCAGAAAAATGGGTGCGTTTAGTCTCATTGCGAGATATTGCTGACGTATTCTCACGTTATGTGAATTTTATCGCCCGCCATTTCTTATTCGGTCGCGAGCTGACACATTTCCGATATTTTAATCATTCATACCTTTAAAATACGATCGACTTGGCACTGGGTTCTTTTAAAATTTCATGGAATTTTCAAATCAATATAAGAGAACATAATTATTTTTATACACGTTCTTCTAAAAAAAAAATCGTCTCCATTTAACAAGAAAAATCGTAAACTTAGTTACGTTATAATGCCGAAAGTATCTACAGTGGAAAACGTGCTAACTATATCTTAATATATTTAAGTATAATTGTCAATTTTAATTTACATGTATTTTTTTTGTATACTTTCAGTGTAAGGCACATCCTGAATGTCACTCGGGAAATTGACAACTTCTTTCCGGGCATGTTCACGTATCTGAACGTACGTGTGTACGACGATGAGAAGACGGACTTGTTGAAGCACTGGGACAATACATTCAAGTATATCACTAAGGCCAAAATGGAGGGCTCCAAGGTGTTGGTGCATTGCAAGATGGGGGTGTCCCGTTCTGCCTCCGTAGTGATAGCTTACGCGATGAAGGCTTACAACTGGGACTTTTCCCAGGCGTGGAAACACGTCAAGGAGAAGCGCAACTGCATCAAACCTAACAACAGCTTCCTCCTACAACTGGAAACGTATCAGGGCATTCTGGATGCGATGAAGAACAAGGAGAAGCTCCAGAGATCCAAGTCTGACACGAATCTGAAATCTCCCACGTCCGCGAAGGATCAATCAAAAAAGGAAGAGAAATCGGATAATATAGAGAGCAATATGCGGGAGGTTTCAGGTTCGGAGTTGAAGAAAACTAGCCAGAGACCAAAGAGTTGGTCGCCGAATGTCAAAGTTGCTGAGAATATGTTACCTTCCGGTAAGTAGCTTTATTATTCTTGACATTCCCAATCAGTTGCGTTTCCTTAAATAAATTCTTTTAGGAACTTCCAGTTAAGTATTTGGTCGAAACTGCGATGCTCTATTTAAGACGGATGTGTGGATCTTTGACACGATATTGCTATGATATAAAAGTACAAACGTATGAAATTTTATTTTTTATTTTAACGAGATTTTACAAAATTTATTTGTAATTAGTATATTGGGAAATAAGAAATTTTGAGAAATAATTTATTTATAGTTGGAACAGAAAGTATAGCGATTAAAAGAAGCAACTAAATAAATAAATATATTTTACTTTTGTGGAAGCGGAGGTTCTCACGGTTTATCTTATGATGTTTCAGTTCCTTTGTCGCAGTCGTTGGAAAGTATCGATAAAGCAGGAAATACGGAAGTCACACGGGAGGATCTTCTTCGTGGCTCGAATCAAAAACCGGCAATAGAACAGGAGGCTCGCAATGTTCTAATGCCCTGCGACAACGGGCAATCTTATAGCGTGTCGCAGAACAAAATAATGCACCTACCCGCCCCAACCCCTGGTACACCTAGCGTAAAGAATAGGATTAGTAAGTTAGAAACTCAGGGACAGAAGAGGAAGGGCCTGGTACTCAATTTAACCAATCAGTTTGAAGCGGCCAGCAGTAAACCATCATCGCCGGGATCCGACACGGACGCGAGGTCTCTACCTCAGAATTCGATTGCGGAGGATAACGCGAAGCCAATTGAGAACGGTCACTCGCATTGCGAGCAGTCGCAGGAGGCGCGAGATACCGTCTCGGCTTCCGTCTCGAGCGTTCCTCCCGGGAAGGAAATTTGGGATCCTGGTGAGGAGCAGAGGGAGAGGAGGAAGGAGACGAGCCAGGAGTCCACCGAGATCAACGATAATAGTGAATGTCTAGTCTGGACTGCATCCGCGGATGCAACGTGTGCTGATTCATGTGATGACAATAAAACTGACAGAAGCGTGAATGTGGAGAATGAGTGTGTCGCGAGTGTGACGGCGGATACGACGATTACAACGTCGATTACGGCGACAACGACGACAACGACGACGGCGATGACGGCAACGACGACGGCGTCGTCGTCATCGACGTGTCACGATGTTTTAGGAAAGAAAGCGAAGAAGGATGGCGATCCGTTCAGTGCCCAGGTGGACCGTGTGTTTGATCGCGAGGAAAGACGGGGCGAGCCTGTCACGAGAGAATCTCCGAGTCGGCAAAGTTCCTGGAGTAGTTACGACAGTGCGGTGGTCCTTGACAACAATTCGGTGCACAGCTCGTGGGCCACCTTGCCATCGAGGAACAGTTCCTGGGGCTCTTATGACATGCGGCCGTCCGATCTGCTCGGTTCCAGCGGCCTGTTCCCGTACGACAAGGAGGAGATACCGTGGCATCCGGGCACGGTAAAGCGCACCAAGCAGAAACTGGAGGAGGGCACGACCGCGGGCGAGGTAAAGCGCGTGTGTACGCAGAGCTCGACGGCCGCGGACGACAAGAGCGACAGGCTAGCTGCGGAGGTAGACACGACTGCGGTCGAGACGTACAATCCGATGCTGTTGCATCACATGCCATCGCCGACGCCGCGAAGAAGGGACTCGTCGCCCACTCAGGAACATAATCTTAAAGTAGAAACAAGTAGGGACTCGCCGAGTCCGGTAGGCAGCATCGACATCTCCCTCATGTCTATGCGCCAGATCGGAAGACTATCCACGAGCGCCCCCGCGCCATCCTCCCTGTCCTCCGAGTCCGACCTGCCCCTGTCTCTGAGGTCCTGCAGATCGGAAAGCGAGACGTCCAGCCCGTGCGTCGTTAATACTACCCAATGCCCTTCTGTAAAACACCACAAAATGGTTTTGGAAAATCTCTGCAACAAGTCCGTGTTCAGCAAGCGCTGTCTCTCCGTGGACGACTCACCAGAGGCAGAGTGTCCGCGTAGCACGTCTGGCATAGTCAAGAATCTGAAGAAGGAGTTCGAGGCGAAGTCGACAAAGCTGGAGAGGAGTCCGGAGAATGCTTGCGAGGGCGAGAACGCGTCGCTGACCGCGCGACCCAAGAGGGACGTGAAGATCAGGAGTCTGCCCTCGTCGCCGGTGATCCCGCACAACGAGTCCAAGATCCAGTCGTCGTCCAGCGTTGGTGAAACCAAAGACAACAAGCACGGCAGGAGGAGCGAGACAACGCCACCGTCGTCGCAGGACAACGTGGAGGATCTCTCCGTCAGGGTGTTGGTGGGCAAGTACGAGGTCGCCAGGCCGGAGTCCAGGAAGAGCTCGGACGTGCAGTTGCGCGCGCACAAGGACAAGGATTGGGACGCCATGGAGGTGCATCCGCCGGCCAAGTCCAAAATCGCGCCCGAGTTCTCGAGACGATCGGCGCCGATCATGATCAACAATCACCCGGCGCCTCTGTTCAACGAGACGCCGGAGGCGCCCGGCAGGCCGCCGGCGGTACCCTCGCCCAGCGTGGTCATGGCCAGCGTGGTGGCGAAGGCAGCTAGCAAGAAGCAACAGCAGCACGGCAGGACCCATCCCCTCGCTAGGCTGCAGGTCAGGCCTAGGCACAGCAGTCCCGTTTACAACACCATGTAACGCGCTGGCGACGCTCTCGCTCGCGGATTCTTAGGCGCGACACGAGCGCAGCGCGCATCCAATCCGGACGAGAGTACTCACGCGACCACGTGGGTACGTCGCCGTGACGATGAAATCGTGTGATCTCTTTATGTTGGCGATGAAGATTGGGTTTTCGGAGCCAAGACGGTCGCGCCTGTTGTTCTAAGACCACTTTCTTTTTCTCCGTCGTTCTCTTTCCCTTGTCATTATCGCTGGCAATCGCTCGCAACAACCGTCGTCCTGTTCATCCAGAGGAACGATGATCTTGTCATTTCGATAATGTATCTTATTATCTATAAGACGATAATCTCGCATAAACGCTCGGATTTTTTTTACCGCAAAACAACAACAGGCGACCTTTATGTTCCTTCTCGTCAACGTGTATCTTGGCTTGGCGTTAGTTCAATTATTTTAAGCTGGAAATGCAACAATCACGAGGCTGCGCGTCGAGAAGGAGGTCAACGTGAATTCAGGAAGAGATAGTCGCGTTGTTATCCTATGTCACTTCGTCGTAAGTTAGGGGGCTCGGAATCAAACGTGCGTTAAGTAAACGAAAAGGTGTATCGCGCACGCGGATAACTTAACGCGAAGCGCGGCGAAACGAGAGTTTTGATCCGCGAGAGAAAGAGAAGGGGGGGGAAAAAAAAGAAAAAGAACCGAGCGCTCAGTCAGGCTGTGAATGTAAGGTCTGAGCCTCGGGCGCAACGCTGACCTTTCTTCTGCTTCGCTTTCTTGATCTTTTGTTTCTTTTTTTTGTCGAGTACGACGTTATCGCGATAAATCTCCGATCTTCGAAGCGACTTTGTCGATTTTGTCGTAACGTGTAACAGGAAAAGTTATTATGTGACGAGACCTCGAGATAATGTAATGTTAAGCCACACTATGAGTAATTTATAGGTGATAATGTGATGTAGAGTGATGTACAGTGTGTGAGAGCGCGATGTAGCGAGGTGTGTTTTCTGTTGAGCGACTGTCTTGCGGAGGCATGATGAGTGCGTACGGAAAGGGAGTACCGAAATTCACGAGCTTCTAATCGTTTCCGAAACCCCGATGGTGACTCTTCCCCGATCTTTCTCGTCAACGGCCATACCTTGCATGAGCGCGAAAGTTAATGCAAAATTAGTCAGCCGGTAGCGATGTTGTAACGAATTGTGAATTAGATTTCTCTTACATTGTAAGATAATAATTTAATATTGCACGTAATGTACTGTCTCTTTATCCAGGAGTGTGTGATAGATGCGCGTATCAGCGATTTCGACTTTAATGAATCAGATCGCATTAGATTTCATCGAGTTTGAGACCCGCCGCCTCACGTTTAAGATATACGAATTATACAGATTACGTCCCCCTCTGCCGTTTGTGATCCAGAAGAGCCCGTTGGGCTGAAACGATGCGAATTGTTCTCGCGAATTAGGTACCTCTCTTTACTCATTAATTGTTATTAACTTGCTCTTTGTACTCTTACTACTATAGATTGTCTTTATCTCGATTAATTTAGATCGGTTGATCGTGTAACGCTTTTCAACGGCTGGCGATGCAGCGACGACGATAGTGCATCAGGAAGTCCCGCTATTGACTCTCACAAGTCGAGAGGATATGATAAAATAGGAACGATACGTTGATCCTCATGGGTGCATGCTTGTTACTGTAACTTCTCCATCGATCGACCTGGAGCACATTGTGTCTAAGTGTCAATATTTTTTTAAACACATATCACCGACTCATCGTTAATTTTGTAAATCGCGTCGCGGGATTTAGTTAGACGGAAAAACGTAATGAAGGAAACCCGATTTCGCCGCGCAAATTGACGACCAATTTTATACTCTGATGTACTCTGACGAATGCGACCGTTGCCAAGGGGCGCTTCGCGAGCGCGTCGCGATTATCGTGTATAAATATATTTTATTACAAACACGTTTCTCAACCAAAATTAGGCTCGTTGATCGTTTAGATTGTAGATACGGGCAGAAGGATGTCCTGGAACATAGTAGTTTTCCCGAATAGTCTGTTGGATCGCACCTAGAGATTAACTATTATCTACTTATACAAGTTAAGTACAATTGGATGCGATTTAAGAGGAGGAGGAGGAGATCTGTGTTTTTCTTCTCCGCGATGTCTCGCAGCCGGAGATGACTCGTCCCCTCTTTCTAAGCGCGTTTTGCTAGAAGCCAAGTTTCGAAGTCTCGAATGTGTTGCTCAGCGTAATTGTCGAGTTTTGAGTATACTTGAATGCACAAGATATCCAGTGATTCCCCATGCGGAGTCCGACGTCGGATACCGGATCTCCGCTAATCGCCGCGAGAGTATTACGAAACAGGACGTGTCGTCTACGGCGCAAGTACCGAGAGGGAAAAGGGGAAAAAAAGAGGGAAAAAAATAATGCGATGCGCTTTCTGCTCTCTCACCGTGTTTGTGCGCGAGCAATCTTTTTTTTTCTACACCGTGTCGCTTTGTCAACCGATGGATTTGCTCGTGTCAAGTAAGTTTGTATTGTCACAAGTCGATGTGCTCAGTTTTAGTGATTGTCCTCCTGATCCCTGTCACCCCGTTCCTTCGACCTGCTCCAATCCGCCCCCTCGTCTTTTAAGTCTTGCTTAAGTGTGTGCGTTCGCTCGATACGAGAACTTGCTGTCATATGAGAAATGATGATAAAACCGTACGTTGTTCTGTATAAATTTTGTACTATAGTTTGTATTAAATAAAATACATTGTTTATTGCTTGAGTGTACACGTCCATTTCTTTCAGGGGAAAACCTCCAACGAAGACAAAAAGTAATCGATTTATTATTATCTTTTTCCCTTTTGTTACCTTATTTCAACTCTAGTATGTTATATACACCATAGCGATATCATATTTTGATCCAAATTGGTTATAAAGAGAGAAAAATTAAAGTATATCGACTTAAAATGCGCATTATTATAGAATATGAAACAATATTACTTCGCTATGTAAAATTATTTTAGAGAAACTGTTACGTATTGTAGATATTAAAAAAATTGTCTAATCAAAATCTTATATCAATTAGATGTTTACAAACGTATGTTATATGTGTATGTCATTAACAAATGTGAATCAGTTACATTTTGGAAAGCACATGTAAAGCAAATAATGTATATTTTTCACACGTTAAAGCATAAAATAATTGCGTAAATCGCATGTCAAAGAATATATGTATATATATCACAAATCAATTAACCAGGCTGGGCGTCTACTTCAAAAATTGTTGTTCCGGCGCAAAAAGCGAGTTTTGGAAGAATCTTCTTACTGAATTTTGGTTCTAATGGACCGACATCCAAACTATATACACCGCCCTTGAGGTATCTAATCATGGCTATGGTCTGTAAAAGCAAAGATTGTATATCATGGTTGCGATCAAGCTGCCGCCGTAAACGCTTCGAAGCGTTTCTCCTCTCTTTCTATCTTTACTGAAAGAAAACAGAAGAAGAATACTTCGTAACATTCGAAGCGACAGCTTGACTGCAGCCATTATTAGATACAAAGAACGATTGATTGGGGTGCGTGCGTGTGTGTATTGACAAGTTCTTTAATTAATTCAAAATCAATTTTTCTTTAACTACACTAAAATAACCAACTCGTACATTAACAGTCTTTAAATTATAAATGATTATCATAATGATAATGGAGAAACATATAACGAAGACTTTTTGTAAATTAATATTACGTACGGAACCCATTTTCCTTGCTTCTGAATCATTCCCATGGTTTTGAGGCGTTTCGAAATGACTCAACAAGCCAGTTCGAAACGCCTCAAAGCCATGGGAATGATTTAGAAGCAAGGCAATTGGGTTCCGTACGAGTTGAAGCCGAGAGATGTTGAACGGCGTTTCTTTGCTTGTGAACAGCTGCTTCAAAGACAGAATCGGAAGGGATTTTTACATCGCATTGTGACCGGCGACGAAAAATAGGTCCACTACGATAATCCCAAGCGCAGAAAATCACGGGGAATGCCCGGACGTGCCTCCACGTCGACGGCCAGACCGAATATTCACGGCGCCAAGATTCTGCTCTGTATTTGATGGGATCAGCTCGGTGTGGTATATATTATGAGCTGTTGAAACCGAGTGAAACCATCACAGGGGATCGGTATCGAACGCAATTGATGCGTTTGAGCCGAGCATTGAAGGAGAAACGACCACAGTACCAAGAGAGACACGACAAAGTTATCCTCCAGCATCCTCAATAAAGCCCGAAATTTTGGGGGGAAAAAAGAGCGGAAGCAAAGTTGTACACCTAATAACATTTAGCAGTTAAATTTAAATTCTATCGAACTTACAGAATGAGATCGTAAATCGACAATTCTGAAGAGATTAGTGTCGCAGCCACCGCATGCGATATACGTATTTGTTACGTATTTTCCAACGTATAATAAAGAGGAATAACTGTCTGGTTCCATAGTGAAGATCAATCTGCCGCTACCGTAGTCCCACAGTTGCATAGGATTATATTTTTGCCAGGCACAAGTCAGAATCTGTCATTCAAGAGAAATTCATAACTAAAAATGCTATAAAAAATTATTATATAAAAATACACGCGTCCTCCCTCAGGTAAATGGATATTACAAAATTATAAAGCTATCGCAATTAGGGTACGTAATTGCTCTAGTATATAATTCTTAAATTTATTAATGTAATATCTGACATTTATTTCACATGGATCTGTCGGTTCTTTAGGGATACACTGTAGGCACGAAATACAAGTCCAAACGTACCTCTTTGCCATTTCTACTGATGTCTAGGCCGTCTCCACACATATGTACATCTGTTATGAACCGAAAGGAATGAGCTTGTCTGGTATCCCAGAATTGTATGGTATTGTCCCAGCCGGCGCTTATTAGCTCGTGCGCGGATCTCGGATTGAAGCAAGCGCTAAAGACCCGGGATTTATGACCATCCATGACATCCGGCGTGTCACTGCATTTAAAAATTGTGTGAGGGATGTTTTACAGAATCTCAATTTTTATTACAATGTTGAAACAGCATTTTTCTTCAGAGGAGGAGAAGCTTCCATTAACTAGAGATAATCACCTTCTACGAAACACTCTTTCCCGCGTCTTTGTTTCTTCGTCGTATAAATATAGATTTGTATCGTCTCCGACAGTGACAAACTTTGGTAATTTAGGATGGTAGGCCAGGCCGAGAGTTTGCCGTCTTTCCCGTATCGTGTAAAGGCATTGCGCGGTTGGATAATGCCAGCATTTGACGCAGCCGTTGGCATCTACATGAATAATGTTTAATGTAAAGATAATGTAAAAATATCATTTTAACAGACGATGAAGTGAAAGATACAAAGTACTAACAAGTCGCTATCACGGTACGAGTAATCGGGTGTGATCTGTGCACTGGTCGATGCTTTACAGCAGTCACCGGAGCCGGATTCTGCATCATCTCCGCATCGCACAGGACCAGTGTATTCTCCCCTGAGCTAACTTTGTAGAAATTTAAGTTCCCGTCCGACAATCCTGCCGCCAAAAAGTCGTAAGTTTCCGTATAGCAGATGCAAAGCACATCTTGATTAACTTCCCTGCAAACTGTTCACTTTGCAACTTATTTCGAATGGATATAACTGTGTAACATAAACCTATTAGAAATTAGATAAAGGATAAAATTTCGTTACATATTCATACATCGCTAAGGCCCGGTTTCACCAAACGTTGCGTAATTTTAATCTTAGTTTAGTTCCCGTTTGCCTCTTTCTAGAGTAACAGTTTGAAAGAGACAAAGAACGAATTACGCTAATCTTAAAGTTAAGCGACATTGGTGAAACTGGACCTGAAACTTCTATCGCTAAAGCTTAAGCTGCCAAAGATTATTCTTAATTTAAAAATTATATTATCAGTGTCATTATTTACAATATTTATTTGACATCTCAATGTTTTCACTATTTTTCCTCACAAAGAACTGAATTTATGTAAAACTTGTATATTAAAAAACACCAAATTCAAGCAGCTTGAATATCAGCTTAAAATATTGATTTTACATTAAAGCAAGAATTCTTATAAGATGGTCAGTTAAAGTGTTATTTCTTCATCAATATATCTAAAAAAATTTACAAATTATTCATATATAAAATGTATATGTATAATTAAATAGTAAATGGTTTTCTTTCATTAAAACAAAATTCAAACATTTTTAAGCTATGATAGATCAAAAAGTTTTTTAAATAAATGCTGCCTACAATTGATTGATAACACTGATATTGCCAACCAGTTGATAACGATGTTCGATATCAGAGATGGCTTGTAGTGATGTTGCTGAAGGACTGTATTCTTTATGGGTGACGATGGATGCCACTGAAACTGTAGGTGTTACATCAAAATCAATCTCACTACCATTGTCTTGGATAGATGAATCGACAGTGACACGGGAAAGTCGCTCATTATTCTTATCCTTATCCATCTAGTAAGAAAATTATGTTAGCTAATTAACAATGAAAAAAGATATTTAAAATATTACAAAGTTATAATGCACTAGAAAACAGAAATACAAAACAAAATGAAACAAAAGAAATTATTCTTATTACAGATATTTATTTAAGAACAAGTTTAATTATTTTTTATAATTTCAAAGCTTTCTGTTCTCTCATCGATCTGGAGCAGAGAATCAAGATTGTTAATTAAGTTTATTATATAAAGTTACAATGTATGATTAAAATAAACACGAAGAAATAAAAAGTAAAATGGGAAAGACTTTTTTCTTAAAATTAATTTTATTTATTATTTTGAAACAAATTAAAAAAAATGTGTTATTAAATTTGTCATTTTTATGTAAAATTAATTAGACAAGCAGGATGTAACAGAACGCAAAGCGTGTGTGAATGTAAACAGAATATTATTATTAGCAAATGTGCAGAATAACCTTATTGAATATTTATAAAAGTAGGTTCCGCTTGATATGAGTACAGAGTTCACACAGAGAATATAGACTGGCGCTTATGTGAGTAGAATTTTATAAAGTTTTATATCGATAACGTTTTCGTTTAACTCGGAAAATTTGCCAATCGTCATTCAGACCAAAATGCTGTAACTTATCGGGAAATTGGAGTTTGGGTTGGTATTTGATTTCGGTTATGTCAAAAATTGAAAAGGACGATCGCAGTCTGCGATGGGTGCGTTCGCAGAGCACGCTATTAACACTTATAAAAGTGTTTTCTATCTTTCCTTGACATACGTGCTTACACTGTTGTTATACAGGGTGGTGAGCAAACACATCACAAAGGATTATCCCCAATTACAATCGCTGAATGGAAGGGCGTTTTGTAGAATATTTTAGCCAGTAGGAAAGTGCGTCACGGCACAAGTGGCGACTATACTTACAGTTGATAATACACGTTTCTTTGAAAACAGATTTATAAGTCTACATCTTCATATCAAGGGGTGTAGAACAATAACAATTAGTATTATGAAGCCAGATTTAAAAAGTGTTTAGACCTGTTTCAATAGTTGTAACTATAGAAGCTATAAATCTTCCATTAAGCACAAAGATGTAAGAAGATTTCACATTACGGTTTTAGAGATTGGTGATAATCTGAAAAAATAAATCATTAAAACTGTGTTCTCCACTCGCACAATCGATTTATTTATCGATTTTACCATCAAATAAATAAAATTTTATAAATATAAATAGGTTTGTTTTCTGTTCCTACACTGGTGAACTAGTGCAGTAAGCTAGAATGAGAAAAAATATGCTTGTCTTGCTCTAATTTATTGCACAAGTGTAGGAACAGAAAACAAGCATATTGTGAATGTTCGACGTAGGGGAAAGGTGGACAAAACAGAGTACCTTGGATTTGATGGCCTGCAATGAGCCACCAAGCGAGTAAAATTAAATGTTTTACCCTAATTATTTTCAGTAGTTATCATTTTACAATCTACGATACAATAATCTCTTTATTGACGATGGTTTTTCGGAAATTATAATTTTTATGAAAAAAAGGTCCAACCGGTAGAATAAAACAGGATACTCATTTTAATCATTAAAAAATAATTACTTATGTTTCTTGTTTTTTAGTAAAGACGCTACATACAGTGTAATTTAGAGGCTCTGAAGTTTTGTACAAAATAAAATAATGCTACAAGTTTAAGTTCTATCAGACTACCCCGTTTTATCCGACATTTCCCTATATATTTTTCAAGGGTAAATTGTAAAACATGTAAAATACAATATCCAATCGATTTTATTGTATTTTTTTATTAGATGTAGGAAATAACTTAAATTACGACACGCACGAGCCTTTTGTTATTATAACAAATGAGTTATAATAGGTGGAAAAAGTATAATAACAAAAATATTTATTAACTTTGAAACGTTTATTTCTTTAAAAATTTATGTTACAATTTAACATTAACATCATGGTGTAAGAATATACTCTATAGCCTAACGCAAGTTGAAGTGCGCAAATATTTAATTAAAAAAATATTTTACAAAATCTGTCACTCTCACTTGATAAGGACCTAAACCAAAGGTTGAAACCTTGTGAAAGCGTATTTAATAAATGTGGCCAGCTGAGGTCGATTAAAACTTTAAATTTTATTTATATTAATATCGGCATACTGATAAAATATACAATTTTATTTTCTGTTATTTTTTAGAAAAATAGATTAAAGTAAAAATATGGTTAAAATTGAAATATTAAAAATAGTTTATTTATTTGAGAAATACACTGCACTTATCTTCTTTTAAGTCTTAAATGTTTACTTAACAAAACTAACTTTATTTAATTTTCTTAAATAAAATTAAAGAATTAAGGATTTAAAATTGTTTACAATTTAAAAATGTTTACAGATACGTGTGGATATTTCTCTGTCACTTGGGCAAAGAAGCTATCGTATCTATTACAATGCTGCTTAACATGAATCTTTTGTAGTTTAGGACACTGCTCAAAAATTGCTAAACGAGGTACATTCCACAAGTATACTCGTTTTAAGTTTTTACATAGCATCAATGCTTTGTCGAAACTGATGCTATCGAGTTGCAAATTCCATAAATTCACATTTTCTAAGTATTTACAAGAAGAAAATAATTTTCGCAAAATACGCTGATCGACTGTTGTAGAGTCTCTGTAACAAAAACCATATTATTTTTTTAATCGCGAAAAGAAAAACAGCATATAAGAAATGCAAAACATACAAATTTTGATAAAGAATATGTGACAATGTGTATTTTAAAAGAAAATTCATCGTATACGTACATCCTCGGACAAACCAGACTTCGTAAATTCTTGCATTTAGCGATGGCATTAATACCTTCCGATGTAATGACCGAGCAGTTGAAACGTATTATTTTCAAGTTTGGACATGAATGTCCCACTTGTATTGCAATTGCGTCTGAATTTAGTCTATAAGCAGAATACAAATCTAACTTTCGTATTTGACGGTTTTTTCGCAATATTCTGCAAAGAGAGTTAGTTGATATGTCTGTAAACGAAAGGTTTAATTCCTCTAGAAATTCTAATTTTCTGAGATACTCAAATCCTTTGTTCGAGATGAGCGAATGAAATGTAGATCTATTGAGATCCTGACGGCTTACCACGACAGAAGCGAGATAAAATACTAAAAAATATACTGTATTAGTCATATATACAATTTAACTGTAATTTTAATAATTATGTTTTATATTTTTATACCTTTAAGATTTTTGCATGTCCTTGAAATTGTACGTATGGCAATGTCGTCAACAAATGAGCAGTTATTTAGTCGTAAGTTAGTTAAACTCTTGCCGCAAATGGTAATCAATTTTATGAAATGCGAAGTAGAAATATTAATTGATGAAAACAAATTCAACTGCTGGAAATGTTTGCATCTGAATGATAAATAAAATATCGTATCACAAATACAATTGGGATACGTAGACTTTTTGTTCCCATCTTTTGCATACATATCATTTGAATTTAAACATTTATACAGAAAAGGGTCCCGTGTTAAACTATTGAAGTGTTTGTTTGTACTGCCCACACTGCACAACGACCTCATATCTAATTTTTTAAATATTATTAATATTATTTCATCCTGCAAAAAGAAAATATAAAAGTTTAATTTACGATATTACATTATAAATATTTTAATGGAAAATAAACTTTTCTGATACTTTACAGGAAGTTTAGAGAATCCACATGGTTGTTTCTCGAATTCAGGGGCGCATCGAGGGGGTTCGATATAGCAATTACTGCGAATAATATAGGAACGTATTAATTTCTATTGTATTATTAAGAGAAAAGTATAAAATATTACTTAACGTCAATGATATTATAATACCTTTCATTAGTACGAATAATGCAATATTCAACTAGTTTTTTGCGAAGGTCGAATATATCCAAGTGTGCATTTTCATAATTAGGTGTTAAGTTATGGATATCCAGATGGGAAATGTGCTGATTAATGCTTGTTAACAGACCAGTTAAGCTCTGTTTAGGAGTTTTAGGAAGAAGCAATTTTGTTGTGCCGATAAGCATCACAGCATCTATACGCATCACAGCATCTATACGCATAAATTTTAGTTTGAGTCGTTGAGTTTTAAAATTACAAGATTGTAATGGCGGTGAAAATATCCTTGATGTCCTTGGAGGAACAATCTGAGCAGGTCCACTCCATAAAAGAAACCACTGATTGTGAAGCTGCGAATTTTCAGCCCAAATTTCAGTTACGTATCCAGGATCAAACACTTCATATATAGATACTCTAATAGGATATACAGCTTCATGGAACTCGAGATCTTAAAATCAGAAAATTTAATTATAGTCTTTTCTGAACACAAACGTGTTTTCTTTTACAATCTTATTTATCAATTGAAGTGTTACATACCGATATAGTTGCACAGGTTGTTATCATATATTGATTCTTCACGTTTGTCCATTATATAAGGACAATATTGACGTTTTGTAATACCCCGACCATAATAATTCTATTTACAAAAAGTAAATAATTGTGCAATATTACAAAATACTTGAAGCATAAAGTTTGGTTGCTATAATATTGCTACGGAACAGATAATATCACAAAATATACATACATACCACGATAAATGTGTGTACAAAAGGTCCGTAACGTGGAAAAAAAGTGGGTTCCCCAATTATCGCTTTACAGGTATTATTTATGCTATCGCTATCTTTTACAAACTGATAGATGAAGTCCACATGATTTTCCTCTTTTACTGATACTACGAAGGGATAGTGAGAAAAATCCCCATGTACAAATGTAGAAGGTGATGCCATTTTCTGTCTGAAAAAAGAATGAAATTGTTCAGCATATATTAAGAGGTCAGATTATAATATCGTATATCTATTGCAGTACAGATTGAGGGATTGGAAATCCGCGGCTGAGGACCGTGAAAGATAGAGGTATATACATATATACATTTTTAAGTTATTA